GTTCCAACATTCTCCCTTAAATCTTATTCCCAAGTGTTTCGGTCTCTTCATAATTCGATATCGGAATAACTTTTGAATTCTTTCAAAATCGTGCGTCAAATCAAGCGTATTGAACTACAAGTGGCCTGAATTCTCATATAACCTGATATATCTAGGCAACCCATTTCCGGGGTTCGGTCATAATTCCTAAAGTCCGTACCAAAAGCACTTTACTAAGGTGAAGATGTGGTCGGTCAAAATTGGATTAGTCTATTTCATTTTCCTCGAATTTCTTGCATCAATCCAAGTAAACTGAGGGACTTGTTGACACCCAATTTTGACCCTCCCCGATAATAATTAATTTTTGAGCTTCGTAATCTTCGAACGATTCAAAATAATTAGTTTCATAAAATTATATATATATCGTTTGCAAGTTATTTTAACTAGTTTTGTCACTTTTTATAATTTTTAGATAATATATTTGTTTTACATAATTATGTATATAATTAGTATATTTTATGATCATTCGAAATATATATATATGTATATCGTTTTGCAAGTTATTTTAACTAGTTTTGTCACTTTTTATAATTTTTAGATAATATATTTGTTTTACATAATTATGTATATAATTAGTATATTTTATGATCATCCGAAAATCGTCTAAAAAATATTTAGTTTTACTATATATATATATATCGTTTGCAAGTTATTTTAACTAGTTTTGTCACTTTTATAATTCTTAAATAATATATTTGTTTTACATAATTATGTATATAATTAGTATATTTTATGATCATTCGAAAATCGTCTCAAAAATATGTAGTTTTACTTAAATATTTGGTTAACTAGTTTAGTTATATAATACTTTATATTTTTGAAATAGTTAGTTTATTATTAAGTTAATTATTTTATTTCGTTAGAATTAAGAAACTCGTTAATTAATTAATGTCAACTTATTTTATTTGAACTTTGGCCGAATCTGCTAATCAAATTCAATTTGGTTACATTCTAAATTCAATTGGCGAATTTTGCAAATCATTTGGCCAATTCTTAATCCAATCCATTCCTTGCCAAAATGTTAAACCCGTTGCAAGATCACTTCGGGCCCTTTTTCCTTTTCCTAGCTGGCCCACTCCTTCTATACACCCATT